TAATAATACATGCTCACTCGGCAACCTGCTTCCAGCGCAGGAACCAGGGCTGGGGGCAGGATCTCCCACCCAAAGGGGAGTCCCGGGTTAGGGCGAGTGCCCTCTGCATTCAGCGCTGTAAAGGCAGGAGCTTAGCGGGATTCAGTGCGGGATCAGACATTTATCTGGATAATGAGGATGTCTAGACTGATAAGAAGAAGGGTTAAATTGGCTCAGGGCCTGATTCTGCTTCATCATGCGGTTCTCACAGCTTGGCACACTCCAGCACTGTTGGGAGTAACTTGTGGGCAAACCCAAGATGGGTTGAAGCTGGACACAGCCCTTGTTCTTCCCATTTTTTAAACCTAGCGATCAGAGGTATCGTCAGGCTCCTTAACCCCTGGAAGGCAGACGCGAGGAGAACTCTAAGAAACCTTTAACGTGCTCAAATTAGCTTCTCAGAGCTCTTATTTTTCTGCCTTAGCTATGCCCTCACTGTCTCCCTGCTCTCCACAGAGAAAACCCCACAGACTGGGGCACAGCCACCCTCTGACACTATCCTATGACCTGTCCCTGTGCAAGGAAGGCAAAGCCTGTGGCAAGGGAGACAGTTTTGGACCGCACCATTGGATTGGAACCACGAAGGACTGAGCTGGACAAAGCGACCCTCGGTTTCACAGCAACTGGGCAGAAAGACGGCTCTTGCTAACTCGTGAGCCTTAAACACCAATGCCCAGAGAGGAGAAGGAATAGATGAAAACGAGCATCTTCTCCCTCAGGCTCCCCTTCTCCCTCACCTGCTCCATCTGCTCCTAGTCCCAAGGCAAAGCCAAATCTTGAGGACTCGCAGCTCCCTGCAGCTCTCTCAGCCAGGCCAGCTGGGTTACTCTGCTCTGCCCTGCACACGCCAGCCCTTCATGTCCCACTCCTGAACTTCCATCACCAAGAGCAGCATCCAGAGCGAAGAGGTACAAGGCTGAGCCTGGAGGCACTTTGCAGCAGTGAAGAATCAGTTGCACATGTGGCAGAGTTACTGCTAGAGCTGGACATGGAGCAGGAATCCCACGTGCATCCTCTATCTGGTGGAGCAGATGCTGCAGCCTGGCCTTACAGGGCTCTCTCCTCTACAGAGACATCACTTTGCACAAAACTTGAGGGATTTAATACCTCTGAGGCTTCTACCTCTCTGCCAAACTTGGGTGAGGCTGGTCAACAGGTTCAGACCAACATGCAAGCCCTGGGATCAGGTGTGACTTTGCCTCCCTTAGGAAGCCACAGTAAAATGCCCTCTCTTCAAGCTGTGAGATGCTTCCAAAAGGATATGGAATTGCAGAGAGCAAATAAATGTGAAGACCTAACAGTGTCACCTGCTTGTTTGTTCCAAGAGTCCCTTTGCGGACTGCAGCCAGCTGACAAGGTCTTCTTTGCACAGCAGTAGCAAGGATCAGCTTGCTCAAAATTGCTCAGCACTCCCGCAGGAGTCTGCTTAGACAGGCAGATCCGGGAGGCAAATGCTCCGGGAAAACCTGGCCCTGATTTGGGTGCCTGCATGAGAGCTGAGCTGTTGGGAAAAGCAGATCCCCACTGTCCCCTCTGGAGGGGCATCATCCATCCCTGGGCTTGCACAAGCAACTTCAAATCATCTAAAACAGCTGCAAGATGTGCTCTTTGGGCTTTTCCCCAGACAGGCCTGGTATCCAGGCCGATGTGCCATGCAGGATGCCAGAGCAGCAGTAAGAGCAATGAGGTGTGTTGCAGTGATCGCAACACACCTGCATGGCTTAGCCTCCACGCCACCCCGAAACACTGTGCTGCAACTTCCACTACGAGGCTAAAATTAGTAGCAACAGGAAGAGCTCCAGAGTACGATGGAATGATTAAAGCCTCCCTGGAAAGGAGGCATCATGTGCAATGTAATGACTTTCCTCATTTCTGGCACAACGTGCAACAACCATTGTGGAATATGATGGGGAAGGGTAAGGAAAGGAGAAAGAGAGAGGTGATCCTACACAAAATTGGAGTGAGAGTGCTTGTCTAGAGGAGAAAAACCAGGACCTTGGCTCTGCTGGACTGTGCCACGGACACACTGTATGACTTTGGTCAAATTACTTATAAAGACACAAAAAACTTAAGGATCATGCATGCTATCACCGCCTGAGATTTATAAACTGCTTCGGTTACAAGTAAACACCTAGATTAAACGGAAAAAAATTTCTCTTTTACATCTGTTTAAATTTGTGTGTTGAAAGTGCTTTGTGAATAATCAGTGTCACCGTTTTCCAGCACAGTCAGTGGGGATGAGGCATTGATCTTTCACTCCATGCAAGGATATCCAAATCCATACTTTTGAACATTTTGTTGGCCTTGTTTGGCCAAAAATATGACTCCAGCCAGCCCCATCACCCCCATCCATGTTCCTGAAAGGCAATGGGATTTCATTAGACCTCACCCCTAGCTATATACCTTCCCCGTTTTCATTTAAAATAACCCATAATTGGAAAGAGCATTAAACCAGTGGGCACACCAAGCCTCCAAGAAGGAAGATGTTACTGTGCTGAGAGAGCTTGCTTATAGTGCAGGAAAATAGATCTGCCCCTCTGGTTGCACCCTAAGACAAGTTGGTTCGACTCCACAACTCAGATTCTCGTCTCAAAACTGGAAATACGGCACATCCCCCTCTCCCAGGCAGATCCATAAAGACAGTGCTCATTTGTTAGGGTAATGGGAGACAGGTAAGTCCCTTGGATGGGGCTGCCATATTTCCGTACAAGATTTCCTGGACAGAAATACGTGCACATGCGCTGCACAGCTTGACAACGGACGTGCAGTGAATCCAACCCATCCTGGACGTGTTGGATTTGCTGGGCACACGCGGACCATCTGGCCAGCACATGGAACTCAGGCTTGACATGTCCAGGAAGCATCTGACTTACTGCGGAGGCACCAGGCAGCCGATCAGAGCACATGTGGGAAATCTGCCCCACTGGCATCGCAGCAGAGGATGGTGCGATGCCCAAAGAGCTGATCCGCACGTGTGCTAGCACAGCTACGCCAGGATTTCTAGGCTGATGTAGATTCAGAAATACCAAACAAGTGGCCAAAACCCTAACATCCCCCCAGACAAAATTTAGAAGAGGACATGTCCAAGGAAACATACGGTAATCCTGACATTCTATAAGTTGAAATCAGGAATTATGTGCTTGCAGAAGATGGGATTTCAATGGGAGGAAAAAGTGTTCCTTGGAAAACAAACTACATGTATAAGCAGCAGGAATAAGGGGAGAGTGTGACTCTGAAACTGAAACCCGCTTTCGATCCCAGAGCTAAAATCATCCAGATTTCAAGTTGAAGGAATTTCTTCAACAACCTTAGGGCAGTTTTTCCAAAAAAATGCATGACCAAAGTCCAAAACCTCCACACTTAAAATCACGATCAAGTCTGCAAATCGCTCAGCACCAACAGTCCCACTGCCAGATTGTCCCTGTAGCTTAGCACTCCATCTGCAGCCAATATGCTGAGCTCTTAACAAAATTGAGGGGTTTTAAAATCTGGTCTCCTGGGCCTGATCCCATGGACCCGGACTCACCAAAACCAATGGACTTCAAGGAGCTTTGGATCAAAGCTTTGCGGTAATTTACTTATCTCATAGAAGAGCTTAATTAACAAATGTTTGCAAAGCACTTTAGGATCCCTGCATGGAGAGCAAGATACCTCTTGCTGTCGGTCCTGTCTGCAAAGCAAAGAGGTTTAAAATCAATGCACAGCAAATGAATTGTAAGGACAGTTGCAGCCACAGATGGGGCTGCAGTAACGTACCCTTGGGTGGATTGGCCACCACGGAGGGCAGATTAATTTCTGAACCTCTTGCTGCAGGAAATGGTCAGCACATGGGGCTGCTGGAGGAGATTGTGGGCTCAAAGCTCCACGTACCCACAGGGTGTAAGGGATCTCTTCCAGCTTTCGAGTGGTTGGGATACTCCTCCTTCACATGCGGCTGAGCAGTTATTGAAATGAGCTGCCCAGGGATGGGGAGATGATGTCTTGGAGCTCTCATGGCGCTGTTACGCCAGCTCCAGTCTCATGTGAAATGAAAAGGAAGAAAAGCCTAAAAAAGGCATCCTGGTCACAAGCAGCATTTTTGCCTCCCTGCTGCCTGTACCACCCTTGGCTTTTCACAGCAGCTTGCGGGAATGGGGATGCTCACCCAGCATTAAAGCTTTTCCAGCAGCTGCTGTCTTTCAAATACCTCTTTCTCCCAGACTCGGCTACTTTCGGGGGGAAGAGGGATGCAGCACTGGGAAGTGCCAAACTTTGCTTTGCATTGATGACACAAATTAACCTAGAAAGTTTCTTTCTTGTGTTTGCTCTTGATGATTAATGTAAGTTACTGTTTTGCCTAAGGACAGTCTGCTGGCACCACCTCAGTCAATGTCAGCTTTATTCTTGCCTTCAACAGGGCTTTCTGTTACAAGCCATGGTGCCCGGACTCCCCTCCCTGATGGCTCTGGCATCGACAGCAGTTGCAGTTTGCAGTTTCTCCCTTTTCTTTGATCATTCTGCAACCTATTGCCTAGGAAAGGGGTGAGGAGCACGTGACGCTGCTATATGATTCCAACCTCTCTGCTTGGCGGAGTCTTCTGTCGTCCCTGGTTTTAATTAATACTTTTTTTCCCTGACAGTAATTCAGGGATGTGGATTTTAAAACATTTGGAAATACCAACTTTCTAACTAGAAACACTGTGTTTCTGCCAAAACCTTGTTAGGGACATTTGCAGAGTGGATGTAGCTGTGCACAGTCTACACCCGCAGCAAACTATTCAGCTCACAATCCAACACTACCTGGAACCAAAAAATAACCTTTTACTCCCATGTCCAGTGAGCTGCAAACATTCAAGCCTCCGACAGTCCCGTGATATGAGCCCCAGTGATCTATTCCAGCTCATCAAGTCAATTCAAGCCACCTGGCAGTGCTAACTTTAACCTGAATTACTATTGAAATACAGCTTCCCCAGAGGGCAACAATGCCAGACGGTAGGTAAGATCATTCCTAAGCAGTTGCTATCACCCTGAGGAGGATCAAAGTCTTGGTTGGAGCCCAGCTACGCCCCCAAAATATTGTACGAACTGAGAAGCGTTGCTATCAGGGACCCATCAGGATTAGTCATTGCCCGTGTTGCCAATCCTTGCAATTTTTCTATGAGCATTCATGTTTGCCTGAAATTCCCAGCTCCGTGAGTCATGTGAATATGTGCGAGTAGGAATTTTCATTTTTTAAAGTAAGTTTCTAGACCTTGTGGTTGTGCAGAAAAGTGAGGTGATGTAACTCGAGTGAAATCTGAAAGCCCCAGGAGAAAGCAAATGAAAAGAAACCCCATATTCATTATTTTTGTGGAGTCACACAAACTCTTTAGTTAGTTTTATGATTTCTGGGCCTGGCTTGCGCTGTCTGAAAGCTTGGAGCTGGAGCTCAGCAGGCCTGTCTTCTTTTTTTTTTCTTTTTTTTTTCCTTTCACTTTATGATTTCGAGGGGCACTTTCTTCTCCTGAAAGCTCCAGGACAGAACTTAAAATGGAGGTTGTAAGCAAAACTGTGTCCCTAAAATGACATGATACCTACAGACCAGGCATCTTTATTGGCTTCATGAATGAGATCAAACTTTGACAGATGAAAACATTGCTCTATAATTTACAGGACAAAATACAACGGTTCCCAACAATACCAAAACATACTGCATGCACATGTGTTTATGCGCATGGATGCACGCATGAATACACACCCACATTATGAACACACCTGCATATAGACATATGTGCACACAAAACACTTCATATAAAAATACATTTGCCATTTATGCACATATTTCAAGTAAACGCTCACCACCTGCATGCTCACTTTATGTGTTTGCAGTTTGCACGCACGCGCCTGTAACGCACATGCTTACACAGATACACACAATCTTTTTACGTGGTTCTAAGCGTGTGAGTGAGCCATATTCAGCAGGTGTGTGCAAGAGTAACAGGCAGCGTGTATGTGAACATCCAAATGTATTAAATGCACACATTTTTGTCTGTATAACCTCCATGTGGCACACAGGACTGAGCGTGTCCATATAAACGCTCCATCTGATGCGTGTGTATGTGCATATAGAGCCACTATCCATCATATCACAATACAAACAGACGCCACCTCTTAGACGAAGGAAAACGCCCCAAACTGCCAGACTTTCACAAGTCCCATCACCCTGCAAAGACTAAAAAAAACCCACCAGTAATTCAAGACACAGTTCTACAATCATGACCAAAATGAGCCACATGAAATACAATAGCGTGAGGTGGGTTATTCTGTTCTTAGCTATACTTTTTTTCTTGTTGTTTTTTTTTTTCTTTTTGAACACTCGCAACACAAACACCAAAACCTCTAACCCCACAGCAGCTCGGCTCCAGGTCCTGCAGCAAAGGGAACCTGCCACCACCAGCCCTGCCAGCCGGTGTCCCAGCACCTCCCAGACTTTGCGCTACGGATCAGGAAACCTGGCTGCCAAAACAAAACGAAAGCAAAATTCCCATTCCCAAAGTGCCTGGGCAAACTTGCAGGGAAAGCTATAGCAACACCTTACCGTCTGAGTCAGTGGATGAGACATTTCCTTGTGCTGGGTGCCCCATCTGCTTAGTTCATCTGCAAGCTGAGATCTTCTGCTTGTAGACCCAGAAAGGGGGGGGGTGTGTGTGTGTGAGAAACCTTGCTGCAAGAATCTGAGAGCCAGAGAGAGGAAATCATACAAAATACAGTGGGGGGTAGAAAATTCCTGCCTCGGTGACAAGGCATCAGTGCCACCATCCCCCCGCTCCGTCCCCAGCCAGAGCCGCAGACGTCGCCTCTGCCAGAGCTGCAGTGCAATGTGGCTCGATGGGAGCCTCGCATCTTTCTGCATTGTCTCTCTCCAGTGTAAGCTCATGCAATCTCATTTCATGGGAAAGACATCTGGTTTGATTCAAAGGGAAGAAAGGGGAAGAGAGGAGAAACGCACACTCACACACACACAGCCCAGCCTTGCTGGCGGGGAGCTGGAAAGCTATTTTCAATGCTTCCCTCTGCGCTAAATCGCTCCTCATTTCAATGAGAAAAGCTAGCCGAGGGAGCAGGGCTGTCCCATGGCTCTCCCCCAGCATCCCCCAGTTTGCAGAGGGGGCTTTGCTGGGGCAGGAAGCCAAAGACGGGGAGGCCGAGCCCCAGCAGCCCCGCCAAGCCTCACTGCTCCTGTGCCTGGAGCCACCAAAAGGCCTTGGGGTGCCCAGGGGTTCCCCCTTCTCCTCTCTTTCCGTGATTCCCGGTGCTGCTGGATGCACGGTTTCTACCCTCAAATGCTTGTGATTTTGGTTGGGGGTCTTCCCATCCCAAGACTGAAGCCCCCACGTTTGGGGGGGACCCAGCACCTCTTGGAAGGCTGCGTCCCCCTTCGCAGGAGGATGAAGCCCATGAGCTACCTGTTCATGGGAGGTGGGCTCATCCCTTCAGGACCTGCCCTGGTGCCCCCTTCTCCCCACTGTTCACCCTGCCAGCTCCGGTGCTGCTGCCAGCCTATGGCCCAAGCAGTTCCACCTTGAGGTGTCCCTGCCCAGCCCCTGCTTCTCCCAAGGGTCCCCGCTATCCCAGTGGATCTCTAGGCTCCCAACCCTTGACCTGTCCACAGCACCCCTCAGGGGTGGGCAGCGGCAGGTCCCCACACAGACCCTCCTTGATGGGGTGCGCATTGACAGGTCCCCATGCAGCCCCCCCTGCACCCGTGACCGCTCCATGCTCAAGTGCACATGGTGGGTCTCCATGTGGACGCCCTCTCCACCCATGGCTCCTCTGTGCCGGAGTGGATGCTGTTGGGTCCCCATGCACTCCTCCTCCACTTGTGGCCCCCCCATGCCCAGGGCACGCACAGTATCTCCACAGCCCCCTCCACCCTTGGCAAGGCAGGTCCCCGTGTAGCCTCCTCCACCTGTGGAACAGCGTGTCCCCACACAGCCCCCTTCCCCCATGACACAGTGGGTCACCCCGCAGCCCCCTCCACCCATGACATGGCAGGTACCCCACAGCCCCCTCCACCCTTGGCAAGGCAGGTCCCCACACAGCTCCCTCCACCCATGACACAGTGGGTCCCCACACAGCCCCCTCCACCCTTGGCAAGGCAGGTCCCCCCACAGCTCCCTCCACCCATGACACAGTGGGTCCCCCCACAGCCCCCTCCACCC